CTGTTTGCGATGGTCTGTGGTATGTGGTCGCTTTTACGTAACCATGTTTCAGAGACAACAATCACTGCAGCTTTGAGTTCCTCAGATGTGACCCCTAACTCTGCCCACTTATTCCGGATGCTGCACGCATTTGCGCATAGCATAACTAACTTTTTCGGAATTGGGTATTTTAAGCTCCCTACTCTTGCTTTGCTCTCGGACGCAGCGCTCGAACTGTGAACCCGTCTTTTGATGGGTCAGTTTTTTAAGTTCGGAGTCCGTCGGTTCTACCGCGGATGTCCGCCGCAGTGGTGTGGACGTTTGAACAATTTTCTGTTCATCTTCACTTACCGACCTGCTCGGCAAGCAAGTCTTCCATTCCTCTTCTTCCATTATATCTTCTATAATCAACACCCCGTTTCTGTAGGGAGTGCTTGTCTTCAGCTGCGTACCCTGGTTACTGACCCTTCCCTTGGACCCCTTATACTCTACTTTTTTATGCGGCCTAGGATTATCCGGAGCTATGCTGTAGCGCCCTTTCTGCGCAGACTCACAAGGGATGCTTTTGACAAGAGCATGTCCCTTGGTCCCACCTCTTTGAACTCCATTAGTATTTGTCTGGCCGCAGGCACCCTGTTCGGGTTTGGCTGCTTCCAAACACCTACTCTGTGCATCCTTTGTATGTGGCATTTTGTATCTAAGGCTACCAGTCGAAGTATATCAGTCACTCGGCGGGGTTCAGTTAGCGCCGAGTTTTGGACTCCCTGATTATTGGTTCCTCTTTATTTAGGACCAGTGACGTGTTGCACCTGGAAGCTCTATTTGCCCTAACAGCCTTGATCGAGGCTACCTGTGCACGCAGTTTGTGCGGTTCACTCTCGATGTTGTGAAGGCTGTTACTCAGAATACCCTGAACCCCCTTGGAGATGCGCGGATCTACTAAGTTCGGCTTAGATTAGATTAGCATTTGGTTTCATTTGACGAGTTAATGCAGCAGGTTTGCTAGGTGTTTTTCTCACTACCTCGGCATAAGTTTTGGCTGACACTTCTTCAGCCTTCACTTCCTTACTTTCCATTCGTTTTGTATCGGTCAGTCTTGGTGACTTTCGGGGTCAGGTCAGGACAGATGAAACCACAGGACTTGTGGCTCGAGCCAATATGTGTCCAGGTTCTTGCACTCCGAGCTCCGTGTTCTCACGGTGCTTCCATTTCCAAGCGTCACTAGTAATCAGTGCTGGACAATAGAAGTGTTTATTTATAATTTGGAAAACGTCCCAGTATGGATTCGGTTTAGTCTATAACTGCGTGAGTTCCCATGCAGCACAAGAGGACGGTCGACCATCAACTGAGCATCTCCAAGTGGATGGTCACGAAACTAGCATGCGGTAGAACCAATAATACCAAAGGTTTTTTTATGAAAAAATCGTCTAACAGGTTTGACATTTTTAGTTTTCAGATAGTCAACCTCATTTTCGCAGTATTCATGTTTATATTATGTCACAAATGTAGCGCTGTTAATGTTGAAACGCGTTTTTTGACTCAGATACATTAATAAATATCTGTTCATTGTAATAAATTTAACAAATGACCTTCGTCGTAACACAAAGTCTTTCCATGTCACTGATTTCGTGTTTATAAGAGAAGTGAAAAATATAATTTTGTTCCAATGAGTTTTTGGTATGCTTTTTTCGCTCCAATAAGGAGGGTGGTTCCTATTTTAAATGCATTTTATCGTTAGAACATGGAGACACATTTTATTTGGAACATACAATAAACTATACTGCTCTGTATCATTCATGCAATGAACAAAGGTCTTCATTGTCTTTTACTTAATGTTTTTGCCTACTTCTAGATTAGTATGAAGCTCAATTCACCGATTTCCAAGGGTTTATCAAGAAGTGTAGTTTATAAGCGTTTCAGAAAGTAAAGTGCAGTCATTTATGCTCTTAAGAATATAAAATGTGCTGATGACACTTGGTTAAGCGGTATAGAATGGTTTCATCAACCTACACTTAATAATGCTCAATAGCTCTAGTTATAGATTCTAACGAATCGGTTAAACAAACCAAAGTATCAAAGGATGCTCACCTGCCGACCTGTTCAGCTACAGCGGCAGTCCCTGAGCATGTAGTAATGTCCCCAAAGGATTGGATAAATCAGTATGTTGAGTGCCACTCGACGGAAGTAGGTGAGGAAGTCCCTGAGAAGAAAAATTCGCATGTTGAATGTAAATATCGTTTGTGTTCATGTACATTCTTCTTTTAAGATTTGCACGAATCCCAATCTGCTCGGGCAGTTGTTCCACAGATAGTGCAACATACTAACATGCGGATAAATTTTGTCGGATTTATGCTGCGCTGGTTGAAACAAAACCACCCGGAGCTTCCCTAAGATTCACGTACTTTGTTGCATACTCCCAGGTGAACAATAAAACGTGAGGTCAATTCCGGGGTACATATTTATTTTGGGCTCGAGGAAGGATTGCAATTGGTCCTTGATGATCTAAATTGTTGACCGCTGCACTCAAACACAATTGCATGTAGACGGTATCTCTATTTTCCGTGGGTCTAATAGGCAACTTTGGTCCATATTGGGTTGTGTATGGCATCCAAGGTTTCGGGTATTCATGATTGGTCTTGATACTGGAATGTCCCAGCCCAAGGATGCAGAGTCATATCTCCTAGATCTGATAACTTAACTCAAAAGTTTGTGTACTGTGGGATTCAAAATCACACACAACAGTCAATCAGTTTTGGTATCTCTGCGGAATAAAATAGCTGATACTCCCGCAAAAGCTTTCATTAGGCAGATTAAACACCATTCTGTTAACTTCAGCTGCACCCAATGTACGCAAAGGTGAGTTAGCGTCAACCGCCGTCTGGCATTCCCCGAAAGCCAATTTACACGGAGAACTGATTACACATTTCGAACACGACGAAATGATGAACATTAGGTCGATGAATTTCCTTTTGAAGACCTTCAAGTGGACATGATATAATTGTTCCCAACGACTACATGTATAGTGTTTGTCTGGAAATAATGGAGAGACTTTTAAATCTGTGGCAAACATCTAGCCCCAGTCGTCATGTACACTTGGATGCTCGTCACATGAGTACTGTGATTCAGAGAATCAAAGGGATACATGGGTGTTTACCCTGTGATTTCCCATACGTTTGCCGTACATTGGTGGATATGGAATACTGGAAGGTCAGCGAGTGCAGACAATTCGTGCTGTACATTAGTCCAGCTGTGCTGGAGGACATTCTGCTAACGGAATACCATGAAAACTTCCTACAGTTTTCCAGAACCGTGTATATTTTGTGCAGTTCAGTGAAGCATCATGTGTACTTGAATTATTTGGACTCACTAGCCCCAAAGACAATCAATAAGTTCATAAAGTTATACGGATACGCAACCTCAATTCTTGACCTTATATTTCCTTCCTGTTATTAGTTTCATCTTTTTAACCTGCGTTTTTTCGTGTGCGCACTTTCTTTTTAAAAATATTTTTCAATATATATACTTTCGGGCACTTACACGCTCCGCATATTCTCTCGCAACATGCTGTTCCCCTCTTCCCTTCTCAGCCAGGTATTACCCCAGATTGCCCAATTTTGCCCATTTTATTCCAGATTCGGTTGGCTTGGGCCTGTCAAAGGCTTAGGGTCTACACCCACGGTGGACAAATTGGCTCCGGCAATGGTTGTTGGGCGCGGGTGTATCCACTGTTTTTGAGTACATGCGTCCGCATTCCGGACCAGGTTGGGGATCACACCTCCTGCCTCACCTACAAGGTGTTTTAAGGTTGGGTGTCTAACGTGTAGTCAGTCCCACATCAAAATGACCAACGCCTCAATAATATAAATAAAAACCATTCAGTCCGTTAACGGTGAAACCTCGAAGCTCATTGTTCAGTGATCACAGAAGTCCTTCCAAATGTATCGACATAAGAAACAGTTTATTCATGAGCCATCTGTCGTATCTTCTTGAATTACTGTACTCTCCTTCAGCTCGATTGCAGTTCTGCCTCTGAAATTATGAATCTTTCTTCGTCGCTATTCTATTTCTGTTCTTTGAACTCGTTTCCGCGCCTTTTCTCCCGAGCGGATATTCTAACTCCCAACTTTCTGTCTTGCCATTACATGTCATAAGATAGGTGTTCACCATGACATGTTTTACATAACATATAACCTCCAATACTCCATTTTATGACCTTGTCCACTTTGTGTTTCGTTTTCAACGCAAGGCACATTTACGATATTCAATGTCCAATGTCTGCCTACCTGTTTCAAAACTGCGTTCCTACACTCTTTGTACTATTAATTTTCGGTCTTCACTAATCACTTTTCATATTGTTGTACATTTTGATCATGCGCACTAGCATGCTTCGCGGGTTTTGCGAAATATACCGTTATTATTATTATTTGGTTGTGTTTAATGTGTATAATTGGCTGCTTATTTGTGAGGACGTCAAGTTGAACGGACCTTTAGACTCATTCTCAACCTTTCCTTTTAAGTCTTTCCTGCAGACTATTGGACGCTGCATTTACAGCAAGAAAATGGTTGCAGAACAGGTATTTCGTGGGATTCGTGAACGGACATTCGAGTCATCGCATTATACCAAGGAGCCATTCTGGGATGACACCATGTCAAACGGTGTGTAAAAGAGGGGTTTGCAAGGGATCAAATTAAAATACTCAGTAATCGGTTTTTTCGTTCCGTCACCCTTGTTATGAAGCATTGATTTATAACATTTCAGCTGTCATATGCGAAAAGACAGGGGATATGTTTAGTTACAAATCTTACACTTCCACGGAGGATTTATTCACGGCACCGTTGAGTTCGTCACTTCTACGAATTTATGTGTGCTGTGGACTATCCGATCTAATTCGGGAAACATGTGTTACCAATTTACAATATAAAGGTATAATGATGCCTCATGGTAAAGATCAAGTGTTTTACCCGATTGTACATACATGGAAGTGTTGTTATTAGGATTTTCATACGTTTTATTTGATCATATGACACCATTATTTGCCGATATATGCAGCTGTAGAGGTTATCAAGGAAGAAAGCGTTGGCATAGTGCCAAAGAGTTGGTTGGTTGGGACCAACCAAATGTTTTGGCCAAAGATTGTAAACAACAAAACGAGGAGGATGATGGAGCAATATCAACCTCCTTGTCCATAGATTTGTTCGTAGGTATAAAATATGTTATAACTTTTAAAGACACCTACGCCGAAGCTTTAAGCCTGGAAAATGTGGTAGAGGAGCAAACAGAGTTGCAATCTACGGATGCCATCGTAGCCATGGAAAGGTATGGCAAATGCAAACCATAAATCAATGATTTCGTCAATTCAGGTTGCAGAATGCCATTGGCAATGTAAGATAGCACCTCTGATGGGATGGATGCTAAGCGACGATGACAATAGATCTGGACAAGTACAGAAGTCCGCCTTCTCTGGAGGGCATATCTATTTCAAAACCACTCCGAGAAAGGGACAATTAAATGGCACCGTCCAACAGCAGTACACAATTTATCAAAAATTTTACTTGTTTAGAAGCCATCGAAAAAGGTCTTCAACACCTATTAAAAGACATCGGATAACATGCTGCAGTACTTTAAACCTGTTTAATAAATACATTTCTACACTTTGCTATCACAGGAATAAGGAGAACAGTGATATGCAGTCTTTCCTCTCTGTACAAATACGGAGAGCTGCTTTTGAATAGGTTGTGACCACATTTATTGCAAATACCTTCCAGAATCCATTCAAGCCTTGCACTCCGACATCAGGGACATGAAACGCGAGTTACATAATGTGCCCAGAGAGCAATGAATAATGGAGGTTAATGGCATGCGGTATTCCAGTTCGAACACTTGAGGAATTCAATGAACTGGAACGCAAACTATCCTGTAACAGCTGTTGATTCTGGAGGACCCGTCTCGAACGAGTTACGCGTGCGTCAGTATTGATACGT